AAGCCCGAGGCAGAGTTGCTCTGCCCCGGGCTTCCTGGAATCAGCTGCTGATCAGTTTCAGCAGCAGCTGACTTGGGGACGCCTGGGGTTCTTAAGTTGAATCTGTATGTAAGTCAGAACTGGTGTCCAGATTCAGCCGCTGTTGAAACTGATCAGTTTCAGCACCAGCTGAATCTGGATGCCAGTTCCGACTTGCATACAGATTCAACTTAAGAACAAACCTACAGTTCCTATCTTGTACGTAACCCGGGGACTTCCTGTATTGTAAGAAAGACATGAGAAGTAATTTTTCCCCCTCTACTTTGCACTGATTTAGGCCTCAACTGGATTACGGTGTCGAGTTCTGGGTGCCACACTTTGGGAAAGATGTGGAGAAATTGAAGAAAGTTTGGAGAAGAGCAACAGTAATGATTAAAGATCTAGAAAACATGACCAATGGGGAAGATTGAAAGAACTGGGCTTGTTTAATCTGCAAAAGGTAAGACTGAGCAGGGACATGTAAGTGTTCAAGTATTTAAAAGGTTGTTACAAGGAGGAGGAGGAAAAATTATTTTTAACTTCTGAGTATTGGACAAGAAGCAATGGGTTTAAATTGTAGGAAGGGATGTTTAGGTTGGACATTAGGAAAGCTTCCTAATTTTCAGGGTGGATAAGCCCTGGAATAAATTGCCTAGGGAGATTGTGGAAAGATTTGAAAGAGCTTGTTAAACACAAATTTATCAGGGATGGTGTTTGGTCTTACCATGAGTGCAGGGAACTAGACTTGATAACCTCTAACGGTCCTTTCCATTTCTATGATTCTGGAAAAAAGTCAATAGAGTTGGGCTACGTCTACACTGCAGACTTTTTGCAGAGTGTCTACACTGCATGCGCGTTCTTGCACAAGTAAATTTACAGTAAAGCGTCGGAAAACAGGGCTTCTTGTGCAAGAGCTTTTCCTCTCCCCAAAAGGAATAAGCCCTCTTGCGCCAAAGCTCTTCCACAAGAAGTCAGTGTAGAAAGGCAACAGGGGTTTCTTGCGCAAGAAAGCCCTATGGCTAAAATGTCTATCAGAGCTTTCTTGCGCAAGAGAGCGCCCACATTGCCATGGACACTCTTGTGCAAAAGCACATCTCTTCCACAAATGCACAATGCAGTGTGGACTCACTCTTGTGGAAGACCTTTTGCACAAGAACTCTTGTGTAAAACAGTTCTTGCGCAAGAAGCCTGCGATGTAGACGTAGCCTTGGTGTAGAAAGCTTGCTCCCTGATTCTAGATGTCTCTTCAGTGGAGGAAGAGTGCTGCTGTGCAGAGAGAAAAGGATCAAGGGGGCATATACATAGGAAAAGGAACCAGAGGAGATTGGTAGAAAGAAAGTGGGAAATAGATTAGTGACCAGGACAGGATAGGGATAAGACAGGGATGGGAAGAAGAGGGCAATCAGTGGCTATCAAAATGTCCTCTTCAAGAAATCAATCCTGAGTGATACCAACTTAATGAATCCTCTGTCAGCTTACAACACTGTGAAGTGATTCTTCCCTAGTAAGTCACATAAAAAAGGTTTAGCAGTGTGAGGTTTGGTATTCTGTATGTGCTTTAAGTGGGAGTCTGAAAGTTCACCCACCTAGGCTTCACTAGACTAGCAACGTAACTGAAAAACTTAGCTTTCCCAAAGGGCTCACTGTGTAGCAGATTTGCATTTACTTAGTATCCAGGACAGCAAATTATACTTCCTTGAGCATAACATTTTCTTAATTGCTGTGAATGCCAACCACATTTCTTTCCTTTTGAGGCAATGCAATGTAGTCCTTTTAAAGTCTTTCAAGTGTCCTTCCCCATGGACTCACTTAATGAGGTAAATGTTTTCATTAGACTCCGGTTACAGAATAACAATGTCCAAGTGCCATCTAGTGGAGTCTTGTTAAATGTATGGCTCAGAATTATTAGTGTTGTGTCGACAGCTTCTCAGTGTTTTATCTTGGGGTCCGTAATCATGCAGAACTCCTACTGAAGTATTTTACTGAGCTACATGTTGTGAAATTTGGCACTGAGAGATTTTTTTAAAAGCTGATTGCTGCCCTCCCTTTGCTGCACAAGGTAAAGAGCTGCTTTAGCTCTGTATTTCAGTATATTCTGACCTCTGCTATACCTAAACAAATGTGTGAAATGGGGATGATTCAGGGAGACCTCTCACATATACAGCATCAATGAGTACAACCAGGAATAGGAAATAGGATGTTCCAGTTCTAGGGATGAATGCCTTTGTAAACAGAGTGACAGGGAAGATCAAAACTGAAACAGTCTTTCTACCTCCCAAAAATATGAAATAGGAAAAAGAGGCTTAAAAGTAAAAAACAACATCAAATGAGCATAACTCTGGAAGGAATAAGCAAGGACGGAAAGATGCAACAGTTCGCCTCTAAATCAAAAATAGGCAACAGTGATGACTGGCTATGTAGGGTAAAAGCCTATTATTGCTCTGTTCTAGAGTTTTCAGTATTTAATCCTTTGCCAACATTCATATATCATGTTATGGCCCTAAAAGTCTCTGAATTAGTCTGATAAAGGAGGTTTCAGAAGCCATTGTGCCAACTTACTTTCTTCATGACTGTATTCTGCAGTGTTCTTCTCTACCCATCACCTGTCAGCAGTCACTATAGGTTTTTAACACCTGTACTGAGTGGCCGGTGTCCTGGTATATATGAGTATGTCCAGTGCTTTTTTTTGTTTAAAAAAAAAAAGATGCCAGTACTCAATTTTTGAGGAAAGTACATTTAAAAAATGCCTCTCCAACCCTTCTTCCTATATCATGTCAACATACACATATGCATAAGTGAAAAGCAAATTTTTCATCTTGCTGTTCCCGCAGGCGTTGTCAGTCAGGCTAGGGGCTGTGCTGGGGGAAAGTGGCGTGGCGGGAGTGCTCCCAAAAAAAAGGTGCCAGTATGCCATACCAGTGCGTACCGTCACAAAAAAAGCACTGGTATGTCTCCATTGCAATGAAAAATCCATGGCCGGCCTGTGCCAACTGACTTGGGTTTGCGGGACTCAGAATAATAGGCTGTTTAATTGCAGCATAAATGTTTGGGCTCAGGCTGGTGCCCAGGCTTTCAGACTCAGCAAGATTGCAGTGTCAGGGAGCTCAGGCTGTATCCCAAGACCAAATGTCTACACCACATTTAAACAGCCCCTTAACTCAGCCAGTTGCACGTGTTTAAGGGCTGTGTAGCCATTCCCTTTGAGAACTACCAGTTCCTCTCAGAAGCAACGTGGGGCTGTTAGGGTCACTTTTATCCTTCCCTTCCCCTTTCAGTAAAATTAGCAATTCAGGCCTTGCAGAGAAGCTGCACATTGTTTTCATGGAGCAGGGGAGGAAACCAGGGAGCAAAGCTGCTCTTAAGGGGCAGGTATATACACATAATCACTGTAATAACAGGAAAACAAGGAGAAACAGGGAGTTGGAGAATTTGGGGACAGATGGAAACTTTTAAAGAGGTAATATGGAAAAAAAGATAGGGAAACCATGAGGAGCAAGATGATAGAGGGAAAAGGAAACATGAATGTAGAGGACAGAAACAGGAATAGGGGCCAGTGTTTGGGGAGGAGAGGGAGAAGAAGAAAAAGAATCAAAGCTCGCACACCCCACCAGTTAGGCTGAATTGAATTGCAAGGCTCTAACTCTTGAAGCTTTGACCAGCCCCACTGTCTGATGTCTCTGAATGGTTAATTATTTCCTGGTGGTGAGGAGCAGGTCTGAGGTGGGCCACAGGGAAACCTTGTTTAAAATATCACTTGCAAAGGCAAACTTGAGTCCCAAACAGAGGCAACTAACAGGAGAGTTTCAGAGGGAGTTTGGAGAGTGAGTATGAGAAGCTTCCCTTCCAGGTTCGGCATTAAGTATGATAAGATGGCTAGTGATGGAACAGCAGGGGCACAACTAGCTGTTCTGAGGAGGGCATGCAAGATGTGACTTTGGGCCCCTCTCTTCTCTCATTGCTCACCTCTTAAGCGTTACTGATTAGCTAGCAATTATTTTATCTCATCTTAGTGTATTAAAGAGAGATTAAATAAGTTTGCAGTTTTAATTGCACCTAGTATTTTGTAGGGGTGAAAGAAACTTAAGTTTCTTACAGGTACGGTCATATCCCACCCACTGTGTGTGGCGGTGTGTGCTCAGGGCAGGGGTTAGTGGAGTGCGATATGACAGTACCTGTAAGAAATGTGGGAGTGGGGAGTCAGAGGAGAGGATTAGAGTGTGTGGGGATGGGGAGCTCAAGGCAGGGAGTATGTGGGGGTGGTGCAGGAATCAGAGCAGGGGGTTGGAGGTGCAGGGTCAGGGCAGGAGGGTTTGGAGGGGTTCAGGAATCAGGGAGTTGGGTTGGGAGGGTCAAGGCAGGGAGGTTTTGGGGGTTCAGGAATCGGGAGGAGGCTGGAGGGCTCAGGGCAGGAGGGATGTGGGGGTGCAGGAATCAAGGAAGGGGCTGAAGTTGTGGGGGCTCAGGGCAGGGACATGGGGATTCAGGAATGAAGGGATGGTGGCTGTGGGACAACCTAACTCCTGGTATAGATGGTGCTATGTCAGTGGGAATGCTTCTCCTGTTGACATAGCTACTATCTCTTGTGGAGGTGGATTAACTATGATAACAGGAGAAGCTAACCCATTGGCATCAGAGACAATACAGACAAAAAGAGTTAGGAATTTCTTTTTGATAAATAGGCTCTTTACTAGCTATAGTAATACAGAGTTTTGAATAATCCATTTAAACTGCAATGCAGACACATTTCTCACCCCCCTCATAAGCAGTGCAAAGACTTGAGGGGAGTTATGGGTAAAGGAAGAGATGAGGGAGAGGGAAGGAACCTGGGAGTGAACCTGGAGGATTGGTAGGTGTGGATGCGTGTGGTACAAAACAGGAGTTTTTTGGTGGCATGAGGGATTGTTTGGGAGCTGGGGAGCCTCTCTCATGCAGACCGTGATTGACACCTAGCATCCCTCATTCAGTTGCACATCTTCCCCGTCCCTGTGTCTCCCTGCAACCTACTTTCCCCTTCCCTGAGTCCCTGCAGTCTTCTTCCCCTTTTCCCTTGTGGCTCTGCAGCTTTCTGTCATTCAACCGCTGGCTCAATGCTGTCATCTCACTAGCTTCTGAGCCCACCCCCCTAGTCTGTCCTTTCCACTAGTCCTTCTGAACCTCACTCTGTGGCCGCCCTACAACAGCCCTGTGTGCCCTGCTCTGCTTATTCTGTGCCTTCCCACGCCACCTGGCTCCACTGAATGCCATCTCTCCCTTTCTCTTTCTGCTGGTTTGCTGCTGTGTCTTCTGGTGCTACAGCAGCGCCTGGTGGGTGACTGGTGTAATAGCAGTGAATCTGTATATATTCCGCAGCAGAATCTGTATATCAGGGGTCTCAGACTCCTGGCCCACAGCCATCCCAGGCCAGTGATTGCACAATCCATCCCAGGACTCCTGTCCGTTATCATCCCCCAAGCTCTGCCCCTTCCTACTGGTTCCTCACCCTTCCCCCCCCCACATGGGGACACCCGGGGGGGGGGGAGAGGAGGGGAATCTGAGGCAGAACAGCAGCAGTGTTGCACCCCCCTGCACTCTCTGTGCACTAGGAGCCATGGGGAAGCGGAGCACAGCAGAGCTAGTGCTTTGTGCTTCTCTGTGGATCCTACCACCATTGGAACTATGTGAAAGATGTGTCTGCTACTACCACATGGCACCAAGCCCCCCAGTGATCCCTGAAGCTGTGTCCTAGAAGACAGGGTGGCATAGGGGGAGGACAGGGCAATGGCGGGAAGTGGCAAGGCTTGGGGGTCAGTAACAAGACAGGCACCTCCTCCAGTCCTGGGCTGGATTGTGCAATTATTCTGTGAATGGCCCATAGGCCAGGAGTTTGAGACCCTTGATATGTTTTCCAGAGGAAAAAAATCAGCAGGGCAGGGGTTAGGGAAAAGGAATCGTGTGTGCGCGTGTACATGTGCACAGTGTCACAGAATGCCCCCCAGGAGTAGCATATAGTAAGAGACCATTCAAGGTGAAGCAGCCAATTAACATTGCAGTCATAAGACAAAAAAGGGGGTTAGTGAGTTACAGATTATTCTAATAATGTATAAATCCACTGTCAACATTTTTAACTTAAGCTCCCAGGCTCATCTTTTGAAGATGTTCTGGTTTTCTTGGATGATAAAGCCAGCGGCCAGATATGGAGTGATCACTTTGTGAAAAACCTTAGCACTCAGTTAATTATTAGTATCAGGTATTACCAGAATGTTTATTTACTGTTTTGGGGAGCGATGAAAACACAGACGATGGGATGTCACAAAACTTCATCTCTCAAACTGGGCCAGTTCCCCTGTTGGGAAAAAACCCAATAAATCAATTAACTTCCAGAATCTAGGTAAGACTATTAGGGGTTGCTTTGCTAAGGGGAAGGGAGAATTTGATAGACATGAGGAGAAGGTCTGAACAGGAGCTATGATTAGTGTTTATCTCTGCTTTTGCAGCCACTCCCTCAGCCTAGGGGACAGCAGGAGGTGAATCAGTCAAGGCTGTGGACTTTGCTGCCTGGAGCTCAGGTAATTAGGCAGCCCCCCCACCAGGGCAGATCAATAATTTGTTGTATTAAAATGTAAATGTATTTATACCAAAATGTTGGTATTTTGTAAATGTTGCTTCATTTAAGAAAGGTTGATTTTCTTGACTTGGTCTGTGACAAGTGGTATATTAGTGCAAGATTTTTTCTGTGGAATCAGGATTCTGACCCAGCAATGTAGGGTCTTTTAGTTTAACAGACAGTAAACCTAGCCTTAGCTACAAAGCCAAACTAAAGGACTAGTTTTTACAGTATCACACAGGGCCATCCCTAAGGTGCCACTCAGTGCCTCAGGTGTGGAGCCAGGAGTACCCCCCCCCACATCATCCTGCATCTCCTGTACTCCACCAGCACTCCACCCTTTCCCTCCCAAGCTCTGCCCCTACCACACCCCTTCCTATTCCTGCTTGCCCCCTTTCTCCTCCTCCAAGGAGTGTGGCAACAGTGTCCTTATATGGGGCAGCTCCACTCCACTGCGGTCTCCAGCCTGCTGCACCCTGCTTCTCCACAATGGTGTGAATTGGAGTGCCATGGGACCAGAAAAGCCAAGCGCAGTGGGCCAGTAGAGGGCGGCAGGGGCAGGCTGATGGGCTGCTCTGGCTCCTGTCGCTGCAGTGACTATGGGGTGTGAGCCTTGTGGCCATCCTTCAACAGGACCCCCATAATTCCTCTAGGTCCCATCCATAGGATGGTTGAGGCAGCCACCCCAAACCATCCTTTACTTGGAATAGCTCTGGTGTCCCCACAATCCTTGTTGCTTTTGTTTAACTTGAGAACTGGTGTCTTTCAACTTACAGAACTGAAAATTATAACTTTTTGGTGGACCAGTCAAAAATCGATGCAAGAAGCGTGCTATACCATCCTAGATATATTACAAAATGAGAGCAGCTAAGCATTCTCATGTCCTGATTCTACTGCCTCAAGGCAAACAAGGAACTAGTACTGAATTTCCAACTTTATCTTGCTCCCCTGTGAAAGTATTATTTGCATTATAGCAGAAAGGCTATAGTGCTTGTTTCATTTGTAAACAATATGCAGTAGCTTTCAAAATGGATCAAAGAAATAAAACAGCAAAAAATGCTACATTCACTATACTAACAAAGTTGGAATCTGTTGTGTGAATCACATGTTCTTGGAATTCCAAGTGCACTGAAGTTGTTCCTGATCCCAAGAGATTCAGATAAGTAAAACAGATACATGCAGATAAAAGAGACTTTCTTTTTAAATATTTCTCAAATAAAAAAAAGATGAAGCTAAACATTAAAATACAATAACAAATTATGTTTTGATAATTTTCTCTGAGAGACTCTTTTTTTCAAGCATGAGCCAAATGGGAAAAGCAGAGAAAGAATAAAATGATCAAGTAAACTTTTTTTAAAACATTATGCAGCAAAAGGAAAAAAAATACTGGCAAATAAAAGAAACAGCCCATAATCTAACCCAACAAACCGATGTGTGCCAACCATACTTAGAAAAAAACCCAAACAGATTGAGACATGCTAGTTCCTAGCAGCGTTATACAGGCAGTCCCCGGGTTACGTACAAGATAGAGACTGTAGGTTTGTTCTTAAGTTGAATCTGTATGTAAGTCGGAACTGGCGTCCAGATTCAGCCGCTGCTGGTCAGTTTCAGCAGCAGCTGACTTGGGGACGCCTGGGGCAGAGCAACTCTGCCTCGGGCTTCCTGTAGTCAGCGCTGGTCAGTTTCAGCAGCAGCTGACTTGGGGACGCCTGGGGCAGAGCAACTCTGCCTCGGGCTTCCTGTAGTCAGCGCTGGTCAGTTTCAGCAGCAGCTGACTTGGGGACGCCTGGGGCAGAGCAACTCTGCCTCGGGCTTCCTGTAGTCAGCGCTGGTCAGTTTCAGCAGCAGCTGACTTGGGGACGCCTGGGGCAGAGCAACTCTGCCTCGGGCTTCCTGTAGTCAGCGCTGGTCAGTTTCAGCAGCAGCTGACTTGGGGACGCCTGGGGCAGAGCAACTCTGCCTCGGGCTTCCTGTAGTCAGCGCTGGTCAGTTTCAGCAGCAGCTGACTTGGGGACGCCTGGGGCAGAGCAACTCTGCCTCGGGCTTCCTGTAGTCAGCGCTGGTCAGTTTCAGCAGCAGCTGACTTGGGGACGCCTGGGGCAGAGCAACTCTGCCTCGGGCTTCCTGTAGTCAGCGCTGGTCAGTTTCAGCAGCAGCTGACTTGGGGACGCCTGGGGCAGAGCAACTCTGCCTCGGGCTTCCTGTAGTCAGCGCTGGTCAGTTTCAGCAGCAGCTGACTTGGGGACGCCTGGGGCAGAGCAACTCTGCCTCGGGCTTCCTGTAGTCAGCGCTGGTCAGTTTCAGCAGCAGCTGACTTGGGGACGCCTGGGGCAGAGCAACTCTGCCTCGGGCTTCCTGTAGTCAGCGCTGGTCAGTTTCAGCAGCAGCTGACTTGGGGACGCCTGGGGCAGAGCAACTCTGCCTCGGGCTTCCTGTAGTCAGCGCTGGTCAGTTTCAGCAGCGGCTGAATCTGGACGCCAGTTCCGACTTACATACAGATTCAACTTAAGAACAAACCTACAGTCTCTATCTTGTACGTAACCCGGGGACTGCCTGTACTTCTTGCCATTCAAATTCTGTGTCTTAATCCAATATTAAGAACTTGATATTAAAAGAAGGTAAACCTTTTGATGTATAAGCAGCCCAGCCTATGAAAAGAATTGAGCAATATGGAGAAGTTCTTGTTTTGTTGTTTTTGTTTTGTTTTGTTTGTAACCAGACCTGTTTTCTCTTGCTTGGTATCACAAATCAGTTTTGTTTAATAAACTTATTTTTGTTTTATTATAAATCATCCCAGTGCTGTTACACTAAAGTAAGCCATGCACCCTGAACTGAATCACCAGGCAGCTGTGTATTCTGTCTCTACAGACAGTGGATCTCCTAATTTTTGAGAGTGTCCAGTAGAGGAACAGGACACTACACAGAGATGTCTTTGGGGAACTTGGAAACTGAAATTCACTGCATATTATGTGAAAGATAAAGTTTAGACTGGCAAATTCTTGAGGAGTTTGCTAGTTAGGTGGATTGGTGTGGTAGGGGGCATCACAGTTTAAGCTCTGCCAAAGCGCTCACCTACTGAGCCAGAGAGATAACAGTGGCTTATGGTTCTGGGCATCCAGGAAACCACTTTAGCTCAATTAACCTTTCTGTGCTGACTCTCTGCACAGGAGTTAATTTAACCCTGTGGAAAGTACAATTTTGCAATATATACACATTGGGTTTTAAAAGTTAAATCATGACACTGCATTTTTTTTCTTACAAACATATAAATTATTTTATTTACAAAGCCATGTTACAAAAAATAATAATAAAGCAAAAAACAAAAAAATACAATCGCTCACTAGAGAATATCTCCAGGCCCGGTGTTGAACCACGGCAGTATCAATCAGATACATGTTTGTTCTGTTTTTCCTTTTTTAAAACTGTAAGCCGTAGAATTTACTATTTACACCTACTTTAAGACATTTATTCTGCTTACAATTATCACAAGCATGGAATGAATTCTATTTGATACTGCTAACACATAAAGGTGCAGGAGAAAGAATGAAAATACTTAGTGTTACAAAATATGTAGAAAAGAAATTGACTGTACAAGTATGGCGTTATTTTTTTTTTGAATGATTGGACATGCTTTCTTCAAAAGTCTTCTGAAAAATTTCTAAAATCTGAAGTAGGAAAGCACAATATAGCAGGTGCAAATTCATTTCTGTGCAACAACAGTTATTTAATATATCCCATGACTGACCAGCTATGCAAAACCCACAGAGTTTTGTTAAAGTGCCATGGGTCAACAGCATAACAAAATATAAGGTGTAAATAGAAAAATTTCATTTTTTTTCTTTTTTTAAAACAATAGTTCACTGAGAATCAGCAATAATAGAATATGCTGTATAAACTATTCTCTACAAAGGTCGATCAGCACTATTTACAATTGTTACATCGATACAAAAGAAGGCATACAAGTTATCCAAGTCGCTTTTTTTCTTTTTTTATGGCTGACGGGCCTATGCATTGCGTATGAGTAACAACCAAAGCTTCTGAGCCTATATTGCTAGAAACAAATCACAAGATCTTCAGGCAAATGAGGGAGAAAAAACTGCAGAGTGAATGCTACACTAATAATGCACTATAGGCTGGTCCAGTTTATATCCACTTTAAAAAATGTTTATTTCCATTTCACTTTTCAGGCTGAAAATTTTAATACATATATAATCAAATAATGCTTCTTTAATGAAGGGAGAAATACCATGGAGTTTTCAGTTGATACTTAGCTTTCACCAAATGCTCTCCAGTCTAAGCCACTAGAAAAAAAATATGAGCAGCATTCAAAGGATAGTCTCCAGATTCCAGCTGTCCAATTAAAAGATGAACATAAAGCGTTAAAAATTCTTAAAACTACTGAATTACTCCTTCAGTCACTGACTAGCATTATTTCTCAGAAGCAGCCACTAAATCTCACAAGCATTCTTTTCCTTCTGGAAGCAGAAGGGACACTTCATCAATTATAGAGGGTGACTTGGTAACTAAGATTTTTAAATTCCTGCAGTTTTACAACTCAAAATAAATTAAAAAAATCAACACAGTTCTGCTTCTAAAACTGAAGACAAAAATTGTGCAAAAATAACAAAGATATGTACACATTTTTCAGTTTGAAGAAACGTTCAATAAAAACAATTCAAAGAACATTTAAAAAATATAAACATTGCTTAAACTTTCCTACATTTCATACTGTTTCTGAAACTATTCCAGTCAGCTAGCTCCAAAATACAGTAAACATAAATTACAAAATTAATACTATAAAAATGTACTTTAAGAATATCTTCTCAACTTTTTTCAAAGGGTCTAGCCTCGTTTATAATTCCTTTAAACATCTTATAATTCTTAAAATCTGCCTTAAGCCTTCTTTTTTAGAAAAGAAAAGAAAATCCCTATTAGGTGCAGTCTTTTTTTCCCCCCATGATGGAAATAAACCAGCATATAAGTGCACTTCTAACACTGTAGAAATAAAAAAATTAACTCCTTTGTACTAATGTTCCAGTACCTGGTATCAATTTCCTGATTATAAAATCTATATTTTATTAAAAAAAACAAATGAGTAATCCTATAAGAAACACTATCAGTGCAATTCTATTGATGCAAACCAATCTGTTCAACTCCTGTCCTTGCAAACTCAAATAGTTTATTGAAGCAAACCAGTAGTATGATCTTAGGGGTCACAACTCCCATCACAATACAGGGAATTTTCATGTTGCTTTCCTACTAACATTAGCAGGAGTTAGTGCATAAGTCCTCCATGCATTGATTGGAGTACAGACTTCTTCAGAGCCTGATCCTCAGAGACACTGAACATGCAAAACTCCCAATAAAATCAATGGGAGTTGTGGATGCTCAGTACACCCATCAAGATTAGTTCTTAAAGCTGCAATGCCCCAATTGTTGCAAACTGCTCAGAAATGCACTAGGTAATATTTTTTATTCATAAGACAAACAAATCCAGATATTATTGTAGTTTTTAATTAATGATAACAAATTTTGGGGACAATTTAAAATAAATCCAAATAATGAATTAGATTATTTTGGAATGTTCACTGTTACCGTTGCAAGAAACAAGGGGAGCAAAGCAACATTAATAGCTTGAGAAAGCATGAAACAACAAAACGGAATGCACAGATCAGTGGCAAATATAAGCAAAAAACTAATAAACCAGTATTACAGCAGTTTTCTGTAAATTTCATTTAGAACCACAAACTGATAAAAGTTTACATCCAACTGCAGGACACAGAAAATAAAAACCCTATGGTGCAGGGTTGCTGAGAGCTAGAGATTATAGGCTGGTTCCTTTTCCTTGCTATGGAAGAGTCCTTATCCTACCAGTCCGATTTGATGTCTTCTAAAAGAGAAACCAGAGCCAGTTTCAAAATCGGGAAACATTTTCTAGTATATGCGCTTGTTCATTCAACACTGTAACAACTTTAATAATGCACCTGATGCTGCAAAGGATAAAAAAGGAATTCGTTTTTCTTGAATCCAATATCAGTTTAATCCCTTTTGAGAAATATATTAATTTAAATACACTAATTGTATTGGACTCCAATGAAAAGAAGTTGTATCAAATATGCTGAGTTTCTTGTTGAGCTTGCATGTAGTGTTTAAATAAAAGAGATACAGTGATACACTAACTTAATAAAGGAGATTGCAGAATCTCCCTCATTGGAGATATTTAAGAGCAGGTTGGATAGACATCTATCAGGGATGATCTAGAACAGTGGTTCTCAAACTTTTTGGGCTCTGGAGCCCTTTACATGCGTAAAAATGTATGCGGCGCCCCAGCGGTCCACTGATTGTATGTGTTGTACCTATTGATATTTCCAGTTTGTCAACCTCATGGAGCCCCTAGAAATGTCTCGTGGAGCCCTGGGGCTCCTCGGAGCACAGTTTGAGAAACACTGACCTAGAAGGTGTTCTGTCTTGTTTTGGGGGCAGAGGACTGGACTAGATGACCTCTCAAAGTCCCTTCCAGTTCTATGATTCTA